TGATTTTTGCACGAGATCTGAGACTGCAACCTTTTTCGTTTTCAGAAGTGCTTCGTACTCCTTCAACAGAGGTCCGAGTTTCCCGGCTGCGTTTCAACATAGCGACGCTTTCCATCGGCAAAACCCCCATTTGCCAAACCCTTACTTCGGATATAATGGAAAATATGCCGGTTTGAGTGTTTACTATAATCCTCACAGCTACAATCAGGCGAAACACCAGCACAAAGACTCTGATCTGGACTATTCAACTAAACCATACAGCTCAAGGCGAAAGACTGACTATGAGCAGTTTTAGGCGTATTTGTTAGTTTTTAAACTGTGCTATTAATAAATTTGGGTTCTGTTCAACTATTTGATTACGTGTGTTTTAGGCATTCAATTGAGTTGCAAGAGCGGCAATAAATAGTGGTTTTTATTGCCCCGAAAAAATTTACAGCCTTCGTCCCGGAAATTTATATTTGTGGGACTCAACCCTTTATAGAGATTTATTTCCCCTTTATAAGGACCTCCATCAGAAGTGCATTTAAAGACTTTAAGCTTAGGAGTTTTTGCCGGCCGTAAAATGAACGTTTTATGGATATTCTTCGAATGGAACACGAAATTCGTGGGCATAAAATGTTTGATGTTTATTTTGCTTTGTTGGACTTTCAAGTTGATGCAACCGACTTGGATGGATAAATAAATAATGAAGTTTTGAGGCCCAAGTTACCTGGTTGAGGGCAAGTTTCCTTATTTCTATTCTCCTTTACCTGCACCTGAAACAACGAAAAAAAACATGTATTTATTGCTTCATTGCCGTCCAATTTTCGATTAATGATCAAGTCAATGTTTATACTGATCTGCTCCAAAATCACCTGGGGCTTCACCGGTAATTTAATAGCAATGTTGATTTTGCTTTAGCAGGATTATGGATTTTGCAGGAAAATCAAAAGCTGCCAAGTGTTGCGTTTATTTCGCATTCAGTATTCAGGGCGTGTAAACAAGCTGGTGCTGGAATAGCGTTTACGCATTACTAGGATCATCTGAATAAGCAAAACCTCAATAATCGCTTACACAAAACAGCTTTTTCCCAGCTTTTCCTGAATTTTTCCTCGAGACACTGAACTTATTTGTTTGTCTACACCATTGAGAATTTTTCCTCAACGGCCTCATTTGAAAGCAAAAAACTTGCAGGCTGAATCGGACAACATTCTTGCTTCCATCTAGTGCCAAATTTAACCGCAGTTTTCACCAAGAAGCAGATTGAAAATTTCTGTTTGTTATTTATGCTGAAAAAACCGCAAACTTGTGGCTTCTTTACATGTAAAGATGTTGATATTTTCTCTTCTTCAAATAACTGTTCAATGCAACTGGTTTTCTGCTGGATCTTTAGACCATTTTTGACCAGCTTTTGCACGCGTTTTATCCACTCAAAGAATAATTTGCGGCGATTCTTTCAATAGTGTACATAGTAGCTTCAAATCGTCGGGTGATTTTCAATAAATTGCCTTCACGTAACTGAAGTCGCCCTTCATTCCTTAACTTCTCTTTGCTATTGTTGCTCTTAATCAACTTGAAAGTTCCAAGGCCTGTTTCGAAAGCCACTTTTACGCAAACCAATCTGTGTTAATTTAGTGAAAAGTTGTTAAAACTGTTACATTTTTACCAGTAGATTTGCAGCTGGGAATTACGCAAGTGTTAGTGAAACTTTAGCTCGTCTTGATCTTGACAAAACATTCTTCTCCGAGTCTCAATAAGCGACGGAAACATTTATGGCAGGAATTATAACCGGAAAACAAACGTGAAGACGGGAACTATTAAAGCGCGATTCGAAGGAGCTTATGAATACTGGAAGTTACGAGCTCACGAAGGAGAAATAAGTCAGAAAAATATTTTACATAACTTCATATGTTGTATACAAACACGTCGTTCCGACGTGACGGTTTTTAATTTCCTGCTTGAAGTATCGGGCATTTTTCCCGAGATTTTACACCTTGTGTGCCATGCACAGCCGCATTTCACTGCGGCGAAAAATTGCTCGGTAATGCACTTTCAACACACTTTGCTATCACAATTTATTCCACCTAAATGTCTAATGGCGAGATTATTAATTATTTTCCGGGTGTTTTTAATTAAGGAGAGGCTTGGGGCGGCGGAAATTTGTGCTTTCACGACAAGCTCGAGAAGGGTCGATTTGGGCAAATATTTGGGGAAAAACGGCAAGAATTGATTCGAAAGCTCCAAATTCTGGACGTGAACGCGTTGAATGGTGTGCGCTCAAATAATCACATTTAAACAAAAATGAGAAAACAAAAATACTGCAAAGTAATTAATTTCACAAACAAATGGACGGCACGCAACCTGGCAAGAAGAAACTTTCCAGTACAAGAGCGCTGATGTGCTTGATTAATTTCATATTCATTAACTTTTCGCATCCGGCCCTTCGGGTAAATAATGACTTAATTGGCGCAACACAATCAGAAACTACATCGTTATCTAGATAACAATAAATTCCTAAAGCCAACAGTTTATTTTTCGCCTCCATAAATTTCCCTTTTAAGTTTCAGTCTGTGGCGAAACGTTGTAGTTGGCGTAATTTATTGGAGATCTTTGCACGAGTTTTGGGCAAACTTCCCTAAATGACCTCAGCTGTTCGAAATTTTACAGCCATCAGCGTGATTTAAATGTAAATGATTTATGAGCGACTAATTTAAATTATTTTATTACAAACTTCTTTTTGGGTATTTCGCCTCAAAAATTTTTGTCTTTAAAAAAGAC